GGAAAGTTACTTGATAAATAAAGCAGCGACGCTACGGTCAAGCTACTTGAAAATGTAGTTAAACTAATAGCTTCGCTACATGTAGCGGCGCTACTGCCCATCACTGCAGCCATGGATATTTAAATTATCACTGTAACATTATAGAAAATAATTATATATTTACTTTGCAAAAGTACAACTGCTAACATGCAGAAAAGCAAAGACAAAAAAGGGGTATGAGACTAAACAACCTAATGTGTCTAAATTGTGAAAGATTGTTTGAAATAAAAGAATGGAATGGAAATAATTACATTTTCCTGAGACCAGTAGGGACAAAAACAACAAAGTGGTTGATTTATAAGAATTGACACCATTTTAGCTGATGTGGTTACCATGTAACCATTCTTAGTATGTTTTTCATTTTTGTGCTTCACTTCTGTTATGCTTCTGCTACTGTGATCTGAAAGATCAGATCAAATATCCTAATTTGTAAGAAACCGCCATGAAATAAAAAAGACAACAAACAAAAGGCAAAGGAGGGATGATGTTGGAAAATATTGGTGAATGTTTCCAAAAAACCTTCTGACAGAAAAAAAAACAGAGAGGGTGGATTGGTGAAGAAATGAGCAAATATTTTCAAACCACGTTCCATCAGACTGAGAACCTTTCTTATAATATTTTCTACCTCCGCCTGAGATATGATCTATTTTATCCAGCAGATCCTGGACCTGCTTCCTGTTTTCCATCTCATTGTTGTTAAGAACGTGGTACATCCCACTGCAGCTTTTCAGCAGCTTCTGCAGGTTCTGATCCTCTCTAACAAACTGATCCAAGTTTATATCAGTGTCTTTCAGTCGATCTCCGTAGGTGAACAGGATCATGGTGTGTTTGAGGACCTCAGGACCCAGAATCTTCTGCAGGATTGTTGGCCCTTCCTGCTCCTGTTTGCTGAACCTTCCTAACTGGAGAACGAGGAGGAAAACATGAGGACCAGGAGAGCTCTGCTTGACAGCTTCCTCCAGCTCTTGTTTGATATTCTCTGCAGAAAGACGGGAGCTGCAGAGCCCTGCGGTGTCCACCACAGAGACTCTGCGGCCCAGAACTTCTCCATCCATTCTCTTACTTCTCAGAGTCACTGGGATGAAGCTGACCTGACAGTCAAATGCCTCTTTTCCCAGGATGGTGTTTCCTGCTGAGCTCTTCCCAACTCTCTCCTGACCCACCAGCACCACTCTGACGTCAGCCTTTTGCTCTGATTCTGAAAACAACAGAAGGACATCAGCAGAGGACAGAGCTTCAGACACTATGGGACAATCTGAGAAGATTTAGGGATAATTCAAAATAAGACATAACACAGACTGTTATTTACCAGGTGTGCATTTATTGATCAATTATGAATATTAAATCACACAAAGGTTTGGGAGATGAATGTGTTAAAATAACTGAATCAACAATTCCCCTTTATTGTCTATTACTGATCTGTTGATAAGTTCATATAAACCACACATATAACTTACAGTATGTTCAAACCAGCCAATAAATGAGGACTTAAGATTAAATGATTACAAATTAGGATAAATATGAAACATTTAGTTAAAAAGTCAGAATATGATATGATCAAAAACAACACACATAATTTTTACAACAATGGAGCCTCTCTTATCTCTTTATCGTTGTCCCAGAGCCTTTTAGAGGCTGCTTCTGAATGATAAAAAAGTCAGGTCAATTAAAGTACACTGCAAGACATATTTTTCGATACTGCAGTCATAGCAGCTCCACCAACAGCTCCTGCTGCAGCTCCCACTGCAGCTCCTGCTGGTCCTCCAACCCTCCTTCCATAAGCAGCTCCAGCAGCAGCTCCAGCAGCAGCTCCAGCAGCAGCTCCAGCAGCAGCTCCAGCAGCAGCTCCAGCAGCAGCTCCTGCAAGAAAGTCCCAAATGAATGAGTTGTCTTTCTCTGCTTTTTCTCTTGCATCTTCAGGACTCATCCCTGGATGTTCTTTCAGAAGTCTTTCCATTTCTTCTCTATTGGCTTTCTCTGCCTTTTGGAACATTTCATTGGTGTAGTAGCTTCCTCCATTTTCTGTTAACATTTGGTTGATCTTCTCCAGCAGCTCTCTGACTTGAGCTTGATTCTTCTCGTCATTGTCAAAAACATGGTATCGTCCCTGGCACTGATCAATAAAGTCAGAGAGAGCTTTATTCTCCTTGATTAAACCCCCCATTGCTTCTCTTCCTCCCATCTCACTCAGCACGTCTCCATGAGTGAATAAAATCATGCTGTATTTGGAAGCTTCTTCTCCAAACCATTTCTGGATCATTTTCACTGCAATCTTTTCTTCTTCTGTAAATCGGTTCAGCTGGATAACAACCAGGAACACATGAGGTCCAGGAGCAGCCATACAGATGCATTTTGCCATCTCTATCAGTGTTTCTCTGTTTGGTTTTAAAGTACAAAACAGACCTGGAGTGTCGACTACAACCAGTGTCTCATCATTAAAACGACTGTAGTTCTTCTCACAGGCGGATGTTACTGATGACAGGGAGGGTTTAGATTTAAAACATTTTTTGCCCAATATGGTGTTTCCTGCTGTACTCTTTCCAGTTCCAGTTTTCCCAGTAAGAACCATCCTGATTGCTGGTTTCTTGGAAGCTGTTGGAAAATTTGAAAAAAAAGTGAACCTAAACAAATACACTAAAACAGCTGCCTTTGTATTATCTCAGATCAATTTAATCCTATTCAAATCAAGTGACTCAATATTCAGCCTCTTTTTCAAAAACCCAGATCCAAAGATAATAACTTATGTTTTTTAAACATTAAGAAGCAGAAGGTTTATTAGGATCACCATTTGGTTTTGGTGCATAAAAAGTTTGTGTAATCTAACAGTGAAAAATCTATTAGCTCATTATTCCAACATCCATAAACGGCAGCTGCTTCGACAGCTAAAGACCTCATGAATGCGACATATGAATGCTACAGCAAGAAGGAGCCAAGAGACAGGGTCAAACCTGTCACCCTTTACTGTGATGGATAACTAAACTTCTACCACTGGATGTTAACCCTTCAACAATTGCCTGGTACCAGGGCTCAATGATATAGAAATAACTTAAGGTGAGATCGACTGACCAGAGATAAGATCATGTGTAAATTAAGAGTCTGAAAATTATTATGAGATCATCACATCAGAGCTAAACCAACATTGTGTTAGGTTTCTGTTTCTGTTGTTTTTCTTTTGCTCCTTGATTTCTAGTGTTTAGTTTTCTTTTCACCATGTTTCTTTATCCTAGTTATTTGATTATTATTTTGTTGTTTTATTATTAGTTCCTGTCTTTCAGGTTTTCCATTTGTTGTCCTCTGCTGCCCTATTGTGTCCCTTTTCTCTTGCTCTGTTTATGTTCAGCCCTCACCTGTTTTGAATTCCCTCATTAGCCCTCTCCCTGTCTCTGTCCCCTTTAAAACCCCTCCCTCTGCAGTCCCTCTTTGCTGGTTCCTCGTCTTACCTTTCCTCACCCTGGCTCCTTGATGGTTTTCCCCTGATGTCTCCATGGTTCTGGTTTGTGTTTGATTTTTATGTCGGATTTTTTGGATTCCTGTTTTTGTTTAACATTTTTAAGTTGGATTTTTGGATACCTGTTTTTCTTTGCCTGATCTCTCATTAAACCCTCCAAGAACTCACCTATGCCTCTCAGCTTCTGCTTTTGGGTCCAAACAAAAACCTCAAAACCTAATCCTGACACTCTCTCTCTCTTGCTTTTTTCTGTAACAAGTAACTTAACCAAATATTACTCAAACAAACTGAACAAAAGTATAAAGTACTCCAAAATATATTTAAGTACAGTGGTGTAGTATTTGTACTCTGCTACTAACACTGCTGGATAATAGCCCTAACGCTTTGCTTTCACAAGCACAGCATTATGACTGTAGCCATAAGGTTTCGCTTGATCCTTGTATATTAAACTTCATTGAAAATTATTTAGAGAGTAAAATCGTACAGTATACAACGGACATGGTGACTGAAAGGGAGGTGAGAAAAAGGGGAAAAAGAACTAAGGAGAGAGGAGTAAAAGAGATTGTGATTGTTTTAATAACTAATTTATTTTCAATAAATAATAATAAATAATCGACATAGTATCACAAACTATGTAACAGAAAATTCCACAAAAAGAAAAAAGAGAAAAACATAAACCACAGAATAAATTACATCAGGCATCCTAAAACTCGGTCCTCAAGGCCCCCTGTCCTGCAGGTTTTAGAGGTTTCTCTGCTTCAGCATAGGTGGTTATAATGACTGCAGTAGACCAAAGGCTGTTAATCAGCTTTCAATTAAAATCAGCTGTGCTGGAGCGAGGAAACCTCTAAAACCTTGCAGGACAGGGGGCCTTGAGGACCGAGTAAAAAATGAGTTCTCCTCCTACCACACTACAAATTACTTTCCCATAACTCCAGATGTGGCAAAAAGGATCTAAATCTGAAAATGATCTGTAATAATTAAGGGTTAGGGTTAGGTTTTTTTTCCATATATGTTGGAAATAGTTCTCAAAAGCCCAAAAAGTGCTTACAGATTAACGCAGTCAGAAAAGCAAGTGAAACACTGTTTCTCTCTGTTCACAAAATGGACATTTTACTTCTACAGCAGGACATAAGAGAAACAAAACTTTACAGTTACAATACTATGAAGGATTCTCAATTGTAAATCTGCATGTTGTTTCGTTAGAGGAGGCTTATGCGATGATTCCATTCAGGCTTTAATTTAGGTGTTAAAGAGAAAGGGCCAGAGCTGTTCTTTATCCCAGGTAACAGTCTGAAGGTTTGAAAAGGGGCAAAGTGATTTAGTAAGTAACTTCATGATAATCAGCCAAAGGGAACATTCATGTTCACTTAACTTGTGCTTCCAGTAGCACAAAAGCTGACCAAAATCTCAAACAGATTTTATTACCAAACAAACTGTGAGTTTAACAGGATCATCCAATCGAGGTCCAGCCAGCTCCGGCACCCTCCCAAGGCAATAAATATTTGCAGTGCGGAGCAGTTTGGAACAGGTTGTTGTTCCCCACGTAGGAGGATCCGACAAACTCTCTAACAGAACCGGTTCCTGGAGCAGCCAGTGCAGAGACTCAGCCTGCTGCTGCTTCCTCAGTAAAGGAAGTGAGGCAAATCGAGACCCATGCCACCAAATCTCAGAGGAATGAATAAACAGACAACTACAGAGACATTACACCCAGGAATAGAAATACCACATACATCTTTCCTCAGCTTATGAAGCAAACATTATATTGCCAATGATGTAGCATCCCTGACAAAGAAAAATATCTTGTACTCCGTGCAGAGCAAAGAGACTAGTCACCAGTTCCTACGATCCTGTAAATCCCCTTTCTTCATAAGCAGACTAACGACTGCCTGTCTGCAGCTCCGAGGCAGCTCTACAGGCTGCCTGTGATCACCTCCAACAAGTCTTTGCCAATCACAGATGAGAATGACTTGTAGAAATCAACAGGAAAACCGTCCATGGACTGTCCGGGAATCTGACATTCATTCCAATTCATGCAGTGTCAGCTGAGCCTCCAGTTTTCGATCAGCATCCATTTGAGGAAGTGGATGTTGCACTTTGTGGAAACCATTGCTCACATCCGGATTCTTAAAATTTTCACTCTTAAAAATGGTGTTAATAGAAACTGACAGCAGACTTCCTGATTTCAGAAGAACCTGGGATAGTAGAACAACAGCCTGACGTTAGAGAGTGAAAAATCTTTCTTTGCACATTCTTATTTTCTAGTCCAATGAAAAAGTGAGACGGGGCATCTATCTCTGTTACATTTAGGAGACATGATCTGACCAAGGCTCCTTTGGCTGTTGTGCCCAACAGGTTTGCCAGAATGGCCTTTTAGCCTTGAGGCAATCTTAAAACCCTCAGTTTCCTGTAGAGCCTGCCAAATACTGCAGCTCCACTGATTCCTGCCCCTGGTTCTGTGAACCAGAATAAACAGGCTTTATTCACCTCTGCCTACTGGTCTCTGCGTTTGGGTCCTCCATACAAACACAGATTCATGACAAGAGCAACAAACCAGAAAGTGATCAGAAAATCTAACAGGAATTATTTGAAATTCTTAACTATATT